TGGGAACGCTTAAAGGGTGATTCATGGTACACCGTGACGGGCCGGGGCCGTGCGACGGTGAAGGGACGGCCAAACATTGTCAAATGTTATTTATACCTATGCATTCATGCTAAGCCGAGCACGGGCCGAGCTTCGCCGGAACCAGTCCGTGCCCCGTCCGAGAAATGTCGGACTACATTTTTCCTCGGATCCGCTACGGTCCGGCCCCGTTGCGGCAAACATAAATGAGTCGCCCGGGCTAAATACTTCGTTCGTCTACGGGCCTATAGGGACTGTTTTCTAGCAGTGTTGCCGCACCCAACTTTTAGCGCGTACCACATTATAAACTAAAAATGTACCACTTTGGTACAATTTTTTAAAGCACAACAAAATACATCTGCAAATGACTTTAACCGGTTTGGTCGCTGTGAATTTCTTCATAAATTCCTACATAAAAAAACTTCCTGGAGAAAGACACAAATCGAGACGAAAAACATGAAATAGAAATTCAGAAAATCCAATTATAAGTATGTATAGGTTGAAGAAATCTAAGTAATTCTAATACTACACACAATACTTGGAAAACTTAAATTTTATTAAAAAAAAACGCAAATATAGAAGCATGTTAGAAAAAGTAAATTTTCAAGTTTTTTCTTTGGGTTATTTAATATAGGCAACGCTATGGACATTACAACGTTTATAATACGTCGTTAATTAATGCGGATTATCTCCGAATGGTATCGGTAAGCGCGTTTAATGCAATATCAACGACAATAATACACAGGCCGACAAAAAATTTTTTCGATGTAACACAAAGCTCAATAGGATATTGTGGTAGAATGAACCTATCTAATCACGAAAGTGGCAAAAAAAGTCGTAACACGTAAGGTTTTTTGTTACATTAATAAAACATCATTCAATATTACAATATTCAATATATTAAGATAGCTATTCAAAAACATGATTTAAGAACTTCTTAAGCCTATATACCGATTATATTTTATAGTTTACACTCCTCAAACATTACTTATACCTAAAAAGTACAAAAACAATCGAAACGAGATCAAAACATAAACAAAAACTTTTACTTTTTCCTTTTATGAGGGACCGCGTCTTCTCTCTTCAAAACCAACAGTAATCACCCATCATGGCTGGATCCCATCGTCCTTGATAACGAATTTCCATTGTCCTTATGTCTTGATGGAATCTCTCACCTTGCTCATCACTGACAGCACCCATATTTTCAGGGAAAAATGACAAATGAGAATGGAGAAAGTGAATTTTTAAAGACATTCGGGCACCAAGCGATTTATAAGCATCTAAAAGCTCATTAACCAATTGTTCGTAGTTCGCATCCTTATTGTTTCCCAAAATCCCCTCACTACACTAACAAATGAGGTCCATGCTCTGAGTTCCTGCCTGGTAAGCGTGTCTGTGAAATTTGTGTCGTCCAACAATTTCCTGATTTGTGGTCCAATAAAAATACCCTCTTTCAATTTGGCATCACTCAACTGGGGAAAGACTTGCCTTAGGTATTTAAATCCATCACCTTCTTTATTCATAGCTTTCACGAAGTTTTTCATGAGGCCAAGTTTGATATGAAGAGGAGGCAGGAGGACGTCTTTGGGGTCTACAAGAGGGATATACTTGACATTTTGGGAACCCGGTTGAAATTCACTTCTTTCTGGCCAAATTTTCTGTACATAATGATGATTTACTGCACGACTGTCCCACAAACAAAGAAAACAGCAATATTTTGTAAATCCTCCCTGAAGTCCCACTAAAATTCCTATAACTTTCAAGTCCCCACATATCTGCCATTTATACCTGTTGTAGTTGATTCTATCTAAAAGCATGCGCATATTTTCATAAGTTTCCTTCATTGTCACTGAATGGGCAACTGGTATAGAGGGTTTTAAATTTCCGTTATGCAATAACACAGCTTTTAGGCTATATTTCGACGAATCTATGAATAAGCGCCACTCACAGGAGAATGTTCTATAGAAAGTTCCTGCATTAAGCCATCGATATCAGTACATGCACACAACGAATCCTCCATACTGTAGAATGCAGAGAACGGAGCATTTCTTTTCTAAAAGTGGTGATTTTTGTTTCATTGGCTAACAGATTCCATTCCTTAAGCCGGGATCCAAGAAGTTCTGACTGCTGCTTTGATAACCCCAAGTCACGCACTAAGTCATTCAACTCGCTTTGAACAATCAAATGTGGCTTGTCGGAACCGCCCTCTGGGGTAAAGGTAGGATCAGTACACTGGTCTCCAGAGCTGTTTGATTCAATATCTTCCTTATCTTCCAAAACAATACCTTGCCAGTCTAAGGGCGCGATCGGCACTGGGAGATCTGCACCATGAAGAACAGGTCGTATGGCAGACGGCAAATTGGGATACTCGATCTTGTGCTTTTGTTTTTGGAAAAACCTTCAGTTTTCGTCAGGCAAAAATAGCAATCGTCAAAATGGTTAGTTGGTTCTCGCCATACCATTGGAACCGCAAATGGCATTTTTTCCTCTTCCCTTTCATCCACTGCACAAGCGACACGCTACAAGTAACGCAGCACACATGAGGAGCCCACTGCTTGTCTTGATCTCCAACCAAAACTCCAAAATACTTGAAGTAGGCTTTCTTCACATTTTCAGAAAATGGTCTGGCTTGTGATTGCACCATAAATTCTCCACAAATGTAACAAAAATCGATCAGGAGACACTTTACAACTGCGGCGCGTTTGACTTGACATTTTCGTACTATTTATCTACACGCATAGAACAACTCACGTCGAAAATCAACTGAAAACTGAACTCTCTTATGTTTTTCACAATATATTATAGTGCACAAAATGCGTCCCTTTCAATCATCCCATCATAAAATTTACCTGTATGTAAACGAATCTACCTAGACTTAATACCTGACATCTATAAAATTGACTACCTGCAAAAAAGAGGCGTAATTAGGCAACTGAAAAGTGGTACGTGTAGGAGCTTCAGGAGTATTTTTTCTGTTATTAGAAGCATATTTTTATGAAGAAATTCTGCAACTGACTCGTGTTACAAAAATCATGTCGGCCTGTGTTATTAAATATCTATTCATTTTCGGTGCGCGTGGGAAATAATTATTGTACCAAATCATCCTGGATTTGAAAATGTAGTACCACTGTACCAAATAGAATTAAAAGTATCAAATTTGGTACAAATATACCACTGCGGCAACACTGTTTTCTAGAATATAATCGGCACGGACATGATCCCCGTTGTCCACTCGGTGTAGCATATTGAAGGCCCGGACGTGGCCCGGTGTCTACTGCACGGAACGTGCCCGGCTCGGGTACGGCCCGGTGTACCATGAATCAGCCTTAACTGGTGTGGACGGCTCTGCGAGCGAGCGAATTATTGCTTGCTCGCGCTCGACGCTAATCCACGCCGTGTCGGTACATCAAAGAAAATTCGCGCTATTGCACGTTCGGTTTGGACGGAATTTTGTTTACCACGTTTGCGATCGAATATCAAAAATGGAATGGCCGAATGAAGTTGTTTTACAACTAATAGAGGAGTACAAAAATCGCCAAGACCCGTAAGGTTATAGCTAGCCTTCCTCTAGGTGAAATTGCTTGTCGGTAATTGGTATCCCTTTTCATTATTTTTATGTCAATTAAATCTAATAAGGCATTAAAATCTGTAAGTGACATCCGACAAAAGTTCTTAAATTTTCCAGAATCTTCTGTTTCAACATCGTTTAGTAAATTGTTAAAACCATGAGAAACTCGATTTTAAAAAAGAGTTATGTTCCACCAGCTCCTCTGCAGTCGTCTTCTCTTTTGACGTTTCAACAATTTATAAAATACAATGAAAGACGCACAAGCAATAATTTTTTCCGACATTATGAACATGAAGTGTCACACATCGATCAACGCCGAACATACAAATAATTGCTAGGCCTGGACGGAAGCTGATCATGTGCTCGAGAGCAGCAGAAATCACGAGCGAATTTGAATAAATGTTTGCTCTCGCTTGTTACTGCTCGCTCATCTGGTCTGGACGCCCCAGATTTTACGGTGCAGATATCGACTCAGAGAAAGACAGAAGTGTCCAGTCCTAGCAGTCAAGTATTAAGCTTGATCAATCAGGTTGGTTAGCGTGGTTATTTGGAGTGTGTTAATTCATTCGTATTTGTCAAAAACTCTAACGTGATTGGTCGGGCTTAACAGTTGCCTGCTAGGGCTAGACACAAGTGAGAAAGACTCGTTTGCGAGAACGAGGATATGCAGTACAATGAGTCAGATATAAATAGTCAGACAGAATAGTAAATGTATGATATCTGTTGAAATAATAAAACAATATATTTATAATATAATCGTATACATGGTTTATCTGTACTTAAATGGATGAGGCGGCGAGCGTTCCCTGAAAGCGCTAGAGTAATATCGCGCTTTTGATAAATGTCTACGATCTTTTTGTCTCCCTTTTGTATACGGCTTTTAAAATAAATAAATATGACATTCCACCAATCGGAATGCATGTATACCATAATTTTTTTTCAAAAGTTCATGTCTCTTTCGCGTTGCCTGCCGGCATCTTAGGGAAAAATGCCTGCCAACAATTTTCTACGTTTCTTAATAATAAATAAAAGCTATTTTCGCAATTATAACTATTTTCGCAATATATAACTCTCTACTACTACTAAGTGTACCTTATAATATTTTGAGTGTCAAAATTTCACCCCTTCTATTGGCCGCCCTCGCTTTGAGCCCCGGGATCGCGCTGGCAGACATGACTATTTCATAATGGCTACACAAAAGGATACTTCACAAGAAAAATTAGCCATGTAACGATGATAAGGTTTTTTTATGTAGCCAGCTTTTAGACTATTACCAAAAGGTTCAAAAAGAGGCGGTTAAACAAAATTTCACTGTCAAATATTGCCCCTAGCGGATTAACCACTATCAGGTATTGATTGATCCTCGAGGGTTGGCAACCCGGGCCATAACCTTCTTTCTGTGCCTTCTAGTGCCTTCCGTCCCTTTCATAACAGAAACGAGCCCAACAGATTTCAGTAAAAAGATTGCGTATTTTAGAACTTTTTAGCCGAAATAAGTATATATTAAAGTACCTATATTTTTAGCCGAATAAAGTGTGACCAGTACTAACAACTTTAACAAGTACTTTGTGGTTAGTTCACGTTTGTTTTTGTTTATCGGCATTGCATTTGTGTGTTCTGTGTTCATCATACATATACAGGGAAGTAGGAAGATAATATTCCGTAATGATAAATAATAATAAAATATGTACTGCATATTCTATTGATTGATTATGTTTTTATCTTTTATGCTTTTGATCAGTTTCGTGTGTCCTTGGCCTTCTAATTTATTTTTGTCAATGCATTTATTTTCTGCTTCTTTCTGTATATCTCCGTTTCTATATTCTATCTGTATATGTTACGGTTAAGGTTCGATGTCCGGTTAATGTCGACATTACCCGGTTAATCTCGAGAATAACACACAACAAAACAACCAAAAACATAACCCAACCGAAACATTAACCTGTTAATGTCGACGTTAACCGGATATCGGACTTTAACCGTACATATACATTGTATGTATATGTTACGGTTAAGGTCCGGTGTCCGGTTAATGTTGACATTACCCGGTTAATCTCGAGAATAACACACAACAAACTTTAACCGTAACATATACATATATACTTACTATACATAGGCATGCTGTGGTGGAACTCTGTAACTAAATAGCTATCGCTAATGAAGCATCTAATATGACCAAACTGACCTTGGCCGTACAAACTAAACGGCAAGCGACAGTATTCTTCATCGCTACCGATTGCTATTTAGTTACAGAGGTTACTTACTTTTGTCCTTATATTTATATATAGTCAAGGCTACTATTTATATATTGCGTTGCTAGTAGATCCCCGACATTAGCTACTAGCAACCTTTTTTTAGCAGAATACAACCATTTAAGAAAAAGAAATGTCCGATTGGAAAAGCAACCTATTAAACAAGATTGTAATTATAAAGGACGTAGATAACTGCAAAAAGGCTACAGAAAGCATTCTTTGTAAGGTACCGTCGAATATTGCAGAAGTTGATTCTTGGCCATATGTTGAAGAAAAACAGGCAATAGGGTTAGATTGTGAAGGAGTGAATCTGGGCGAAAGGGGAGACATAACTCTGATTCAACTCATCACAGAGGAACAAATATATATTTTTGATGTACAAGTATGTCCTGCAATTATAGAAAATGGTATTAAAGACATTCTTGAGAATAATAATATTATCAAAGTAATGCAGGCATGCCGAAACGACGTCCTTAATCTTTTTTGCCAGTTTCAAGTGCAACTTAATTGTGTATTTGATACTCAAGTAGCTCATGGTGTGATCACTAAACAAAATGGTGGAAGTGGGGATTTTACAGCTGGATTGAATCGGATTTTCGAGTATTATGGCGTGCCCCCAAATCCATTAAAAAAAACCATAAAAAATATTTATAGGTGGAATCAAAAATATTGGTCTAAAAGGCCACTGACAGAAGAAATGATATTATATGCTGCAGCTGATGTTGAGCATTTAATTAGTGATAAAATGTACTGCACAATGCGTTATGTTATCGAAGATGGGGAAATGGAGGAATCATTTTTATTTAAACAAATGTGCATTGAAAGAACTGTGATAAATCAAAGAAATAACTCTGTATCTCAAAAGAAGAATAAACGTAGGCTGAAAAATATGAAGAAACGTAGAACTAATAGAGATCCGGCCTTTGTATTATACAAAAGTTTACTAACCCTGTAAAGATAATTATTATAGAATAGGTACATAAAAAAAAACTGGTACTTCCTGCAGAATAAACTAATGTTCGACTAATCTTATACCTAACCAACTGAAATAAAAGAATTTTAAATGGGCATGCATTTTTGCAATGAAAGTTTAAATACTGATAGACCGGGTGCGTCTCAAAAGCGGCTCACCCTTATAACTTTTTTATTTTTTCAGTTAAAAAAACGAGATTTGGTATGTTAGTATGTGACATAAATTAGGATTGATTGACGTATTCAATTGCTTTCGGTCACTTCCTGTTTCACCGGAAATTAGTACAACTTTTGATTTTTAAATGGCACCCTCGGTATTTTTTTACTTTATTCGATAGAAAATAACACTCTGAATAGAATGCCATATCACATATCAACTTTTGACATTTTCGCATATGGTTTATTTGAAATTATAACTTACGGTTCGTAACGAAAATTTGACTCGAAATACCAAGTGTGGTAACCAATTATTCGTAAAAAATGCTTATTCCAAATATGCTAATGAGCCACCCTCGTTCCCTTTGAAAAAATTGAGATATATGATTAAAAATACGATTTGAGTATTTTCTAACTGGCCAGGATAACACACTAAAAACGTTAGACGATCAAATCTATTTTTCCAAGGCTCCTTGATTAAGAATTAGTGGTTTAAAACACTTAGTCATGGCACTCTAGATTGAATTTTAAAATACGATTTTTTTTGTTAAGCGAGAATGTCAAAAGTTGACATATGATTATGTCATTCTATTCAGAATGTCATTTTCTATCGAATAAAGTAAAAAAATATCGAGGGTGCCATTTAAAAATCAAAAGTTCTAGTAATTTCCGGTGAAACAGGAAGTGACCAAAAACAATTGAATACGTCAATCAATCCTAATTTATGTCACAAACTAACATACCAAATCTCGTTTTTTTTATCTGAAAAAATAAAAAAGTTATAGGGGTGAGCCACTTTTGAGACGCACCCGGTATAAAAATATGGATTTTAATATTATTATTTAAAAAATAAATTGCTGTTTGTAGAGAAATATTTTATTACATTACGTGTTTTGTTTTTTTAGTAATCTTATATTTTACTAAGGGCCGGTTCTACAAAGCAAATATATGTATACCAGGTACCTATAACCAATTCTTGGAATATCTATTAATATGTCCGTTCAAAAAGTATAAAGTCTTCGGAGAATAATTATCCCAAATTTATACTTGCTTTGTGGAATCGGCCCTTAACGTGGTTTTAATATTGATATAAAATTAAAATTAATAAATATTGTAAATGTCTATATTTTTTCAATAAATATTGTAGTATAAGTTTTATTTCTTTTAAGTCTATTTTTTTATTTATAAGTTATAATAATTAACGATGACTTTATTACTTGTTCAATATACTTGTACATATTTATATACTGCTTTGTAATAAAACAAATAAATTGTATTTAGTAATGCATTTGTTTCTATGACTTATTTTAACCCCTTAACATATCAAAAGAAACTCCTAGGTTGGCTTTACCCCTTACAGGTTCTTAACAAACTTTATTTTAAAACATTATTTTAAAAGTAGCCTACAGTTCGTCTGCTGGATCTGTGTCTATGAAAGGAATGCGGACAAAAAACATTTAAATAAACAGCAATATATTTTATACGCCGACTTGACGAGTACGTCACCGCAAATCGCTCCGCCCACTCATTTTATTGGCTACTTGCAAATTTGTCGAATTTTTATTGATGGGACGCGTCGTCTAATTTTTTACGAAAAACATCGACAGAATATCATTTCCCCTCTCACGGATACCCCGTAGCCACAGAACGGACAGACGTACTGTACATGATGTATATGAGGGCTCTGGCTAAACTGTACTTGGATCCTATCAACCGATTTTAAATCAGTTGGTATTATCCCAACAGCGTCCATTTGATCCAAGTACACTTTGATTGTGTCAACTAAGCTTAAACTTAAATCATGATAAAATTTAGATATAACAATTTTCGTTTCTAGAAGCGAAGAAAATGAAAAACAGATTGGTTCTAGAGCCAATCTGTTTTTCATCTATAAGATTCCCCACCTTATGGTGGAGCTGGGATAATCGATCAAAGATCAAAGCAAAAAGATATGATAATCCGAAACAACGAAAGAAAATGTATGAGAGATGAGAAAGATATTTCGTGGACTAGCGAGGAATAAATTTTATATTTTTATAAATCTAATTTTTTCTTTGACCTTCTGTATATTTAGTTGAGATTTATTCTTGGTTTTAGGGCAGCAATTTAAAACACAATAATTAAAAGTTGTTTTTATTTTTTACGTACGTTTCGACCATTCTTAGGTCTTCTTCAGAAATTATAATTATCGTCTAGAAACAAGATTCAGTTTTAATAATACATTTAAATAATACTTAAAAAACTTACCAAATACATATACACACAAAAATATAAAATCACTTTAAAATTTAATTAAGTACTCCATATAACATATTAAATAACAAACAACAACATTACTAGTACATGTCGGACTCTAAAATAAATATTATAATATTGAAATATACAGCTTGTTTAGATATTGAACGTCTTTTTTGTCATTAATCGAATATGAGTTTTTCTGTATTTCGATCATTTATGGAATTCCCTTTTTTTTGGTTTACTTCTGTTAATAATATTTTGGTCTCATTGAAATTAAAAGAGTGCTTTTCCTTCAGTTCATGGTTTGTTAGGACAGTTTGATTTTTTTTGTCATATTTGTGCCCTTTTATCCTGTTTTCTAGGTATTGGCTAGTTTGTCCAATATATAGAGAATCGCAATCATTACATGGAATATATGATAAACAATGTTACATTTTTATTTTTTGGTGTAGGCACCCATAGGGCAGCTAAAGATTTGTCCTATTGCATTGTTACCTCGATGACATATGTTATATATGTTGTTTGAATTCATCTTAGTTGCTGTGACAATCCACTGATGTATGGCAAAGATATGAATTTATTTTTTTTTGTCTTAATTTTTGTTTATAATATTGCCGGAATTTATTAATATATAATAATAGCTCCCGTATATAGCGTTTGACGCCTTGGGAGTAGCAAGGTACAGCTTGCCATACTAGAGCCGTTTGGTATACAACTTAGATTAACAATGTATACAAGGAAGGTAATGTGGCTAGCACTACGCCTCAACCGCCTATTATTACCTCAGGATTGTGAATCCCAAGTACTCATTTAAGGCTGAGTCAACCTAGGTACCCAAGCTATTTTTATTTTAATAAAAATAGTCGGCTGATGAAATGCCGGGTGTGGGATTCGAACCCATGGCACTATACCTTGAGATTGGTAGACGAGAGCCTGTACCTTTACGCCACCGGGCAAAATTTATTAATTCTATTTTTAAAAACGATTATAATTATATTATAATTAACGGGTAATTGCTTTTCTTTAAAGCTGTTTTTGCTTTGTTTATAGCATTTTTTCCGGTCTGCTAAGCCTATTACAACGGATTTTTTCTGTGACATGGGATGGTTTGAGTTGAAATTTAGATATCTTGAAGACCATGTCTCTTTTGTGAACCATTCTGTCCTTAGTATTCCATTTTTATGGTGAATTGTCACATCTAAAAAGTTAATCTTTGATTCGTCCTCTACTTCCATTGTAAATTTGATGTTACTCTTGTATTGGTTAAATTTATCTAGAATTCTGTTCATATAATCTGCTGGTATGACCGTTAAACAATAATCATCAACATATCTGAAAAAGAACGGAATGTGAAGTCTAGTTTTTTCAATACACTTTCTAAATTCTCCATTACTATCTGAGCCACAACGCTGAAAATTGAAGCACCCATAGGGCAGCCATCTATTTGTTGGTATATTTTATTATCGCAAGTAAAATACGTAGATTTCAATGTTGTTTCGACCCCTTTAATGAACTCATCCTGTGGGATGTCACTTGTCAGTGAATTTTTTTATTTGATCACATTTTTTTCTTATTATTTGTGAGGCCAAATCGATAGGAATGCTAGTGTACAGTGAAGCAACATCCAAGGATATTAGCTTGTAACCGTTTGGTATTTTGAAATTTTTAAGTTTTTGTTTGAAATGTTGCGAGTCCGAGTGTATATTGGACAAACTAGCCAATACCTAGAAAACAGGATAATAGGGCACAAATAGGACAAAAAAATTAAACCGCCCTAACAAACCATGAAATGAAAGAAAAGCACTCTTTTAATTTTAACGAGATCAAAATATTTTTAATAGAAGTAAACCAAAAAAAAAGGAATTCCGTGAAATAATCGAAATACAGAAAACTCACATTCGATTAATGACAAAAAAGACGTTCAATATCTAAACAAGCTGTATATTTCAATATTATAATATTTATTTTAGAGTCTGATATGTCCTAGTAATGTGGTTGTTTGTTAACTTTTTTTTGTATGTTAATTAAATTTTAAAATTATATTATATTGTTGTGTGTAATGTATTTGGTAAGTTTTTTTAAGTATTATTTAATTGTATTATTAAAATTGAATCGTGTTTCTAGACGATAATAATTATAATTATTATAATTTCTGAAGAAGACCTAAGAATGGTCGAAACGTACGTAAAAAAACAACTTTTAATTACTATGTTTGGTTTGGTTAAATTGCTGACCTAACTTCCTGTTTCACCGGAAATGACTAGAACTTTTGATTTTTAAATAGCACCCTCGTTATTTTTTTTACTTTATTCGATAGAAAATAGCACTCTGAATAGAATGACATATCATATGTCAACTTTTGGCATTTTCGCATATGGTTTATTTGAAATTATACCTTGCGGTTCGGAACGAAAATTTGACTCGAAATACCAAGTGTGTGGTATCAAATTATTCGTAAAAAAATGCTTTTTCCAAATATGCTAATGAGCCACCCTCGTTCCGTTTGAAAAAATTGAGATATGATAATACGATTTGAGGATTTTATAACAGGCCAGCAGGACAACACACTAAAACATTTGACGATCAAATCTATTTTTCCAAGGCTCCTTGATTAAGAATTAGTGTTTTTAACATAGCCATGGCACTTTGATTGAATTTTAAAATACGATTTTTTATTAAGCGAGAATGTCAAAAAAGTTCACATATGATATATCATTCTATTCAGAATGTAATTTTCTATTGAATAAAGTAAAAAAATACCGATAGTGTCATTTAAAAATCAAGTTGTAGTCATTCTGGTAAAACAGGAAGTGGCCAAAAACACTGAATACGTCAATCAATCCTAATTTATATCACATACTAACATACCAAATCTCGTTTTTTTATCTGAAAAAATAAAAAAATAGGGGTGAGCCGCTTTTGAGACGCACCCGGTATAGCGGAAATGTTTTCAAAAGCATCAAGCATGTCAAATATAGTTAGGATACAAACATTTTAGTTTCTGAAATTATATTACGAAAATCGGACCATTTGAATGAAAAAATTAAATATCAATTTTTTTGTACATATTAAAAAATTGGCGTAGTAGTAGCCTTTGTAATGGCGACACAAAAACTTGTCAAACTTAATATACCGTATGATCGAAAAAATTTCGCCGTTTTTTTCGATTATACGGTAGATAAAAGTAGAAAGTATAACAAAATACAAGTTGTCTTTAAAATGACAGAAAACAACATTTAGTATTCTTTCTCTGAATAGACTTAACTTATACCGCCGGTAAATAGACGATGGTAAACACTACACAATGAAAAACATAAAATTAGTAGTGACTGAGGATAAGCCTATATAGTCTAAGAGCTAGCAACGTTTTCGAGAAAGTATTTTAAGACGTCTGGCCCTTTGATATATCTTTTACTATGCTCTCTGGAACAGCATGCGGCCCGTCTGGCTGCCGATACCCGTTGCGTTCACTACTGCGCATCGACAGAAGATCATATATTTTTAATTAATTTAGTCCTATAAATTCTAGTATTGAATATAAATCGAACATGTCTCCATAGCGCAGTGCGTAGAGTTTCCGACCACGAACCGATGATTCAGAGTTCGAATCCGGGTCAGGTCAAAGACTTTTTTATTTTATTTTCGTTTATATTTTGATAGTAAAGTATTCAATAATTCTGGTAATTAAAAAAAAACAAATATTTAATATATTGAGACATTTTTTTACTGATCATTACCTTGTAAATACCTTTACCATATAAAATGACTTGATTGTTAAACATGAAAATAAAACGATCAATAATAATGTTTATATTTTATTCAATATATTTTCAAAACTCCAATAATGTACAAAAAATATTTGTGTAATTAAATAATGTTTTTGTCTGTTAATTTGTTCTTCATATATTTCTATTTAATTTAGTGGCTTTGAGGGGAGAAGGGTAATTGACAATATAATCAAGTATGAATGCTATTTTCTCTAAAATAATTCCTAGGATCAACCCTAGCAACAGTAACATGGCGGTTGCCTATCACAATGTCCAACAAAAACGACTCTTTCAAATAACATACTTTAAATTATGTATAAAATATTAACAGTTACTATTTAAAAAAAGTTTTGGTAATGCGTAGCTCAATATTCTGCATAAAATCAGGGCGACACAACAAGGTTGTCCCGATTATCTGAGAATTTGTTAGAGATCACTGAACTGTTTTAGCTGAAATATTTAATGTTGTAAAGAAAATTAAAAAATGATTTATTCGTTCTAAGATAACCTGGACAACGTTATCGTTCTTAATGTGTTAAAAAATCACTTGAACAGAAGTCCTGCCATAAAATTTAATATTACATAAATATTAACACGTCTTAACTATATACAATTGCACTCGAGCCCAGTGCCTCTTCATCGCCCCGCATTACCCTATTAAACATATTATACAACAAGCAATATGTAATGCACTTTTGATACAGCTAACCTGTCTAGATTACAGCCTGCGGTACGTAACCCATGAGGTACCTAGTAGAAATATCTCTTTGCATTATCCTATTTGTATGTACATCTCAATTATCATCACTCTGACAGATAAGTTGTAAATAAAACCTAAATAGGATTACTCTATAGGGTTAAATACAATGATAAATATCATATAACAAGTGTTTTAGTTGACTCTGCCGAAATACGGAAAATACAATCACATATGAGCAATAATATGGGTGACAACAGGTTCACGTATACACGACATCTTTGGTTGACATATATTATAAACAATAATGTAACATAGCTTGGTTCTTAACAATAGTTTACATATGAATATATAGACAGATTCTTTCTAAAACACATGTTTAACATCAAAGACACTTCAATTTTCGTGACTGATTATTTACTTTGATCAGACAGCAATTGTTGTAACAATGAAGTTTTCGTATCACCTGGTCGACCTTCCTCCATAGTAGTCTGAAAATATAAAATACTCTTTAGTATACTGCTGTAAATATCAAAAAAGGCATTCATTTCATGCGTAAATGTTTAAATACATTATTCTATATATACAAAGTGCTCGGGCATAGTTTACATATATTTTGGTATCGGATTCCATAGATCAATTTATCGAAAAATCATGGATAAAGAATATATAGGACAATAACAACATAATTTAAAATATCCCTTATTATATAGACCTATGCAATTAGTTCACCAGTAAAATATATGCATGCTATATTGAGCCTCAATACAAAACGTGAAAACAAATTAAGAAGCAAACTGAATAATAACTACTTCATATTAGGTTCTGAAGAAAAAACTAGGAAGAACAGAATTATATTAAGTTTATTTTTTCTATTAGTGTAATGTGATGAGTGTAAAATTTCAAAGTTGCTGTAGTGAATGTAATGTACTGTAGTGAACGTAATCAATGGTGTGTAGTTTGTTATACAGTATGATCGAAAAAAAAACCGGCGTCCAGTTGGCTGGGAAATGACGATCGATGACATTTCCCATATAATTTTGCATATAAAATGACAGCGATTTTCATTTCATAGCCATCGCTGACGCCGTTTTTTTTCGATCATACGTTATTATTGTGTTATTAAAAATTAATTTTCATTTAAAAATTCTATTTTTTTATTACTGATAAAAATCTTAACGGTATTATTGGTGTCACTTTCAAGAACATAACTATTATTAAAAAAGGTGATATTTAAGCTTTTATACATGACTTTAGTTATATTTATGATTATCTTACTATTAACTAACTAAAAATCATTAAAATTGAATGTGGTATTGAGAAAAGTCAATTTACTATATTTAGAGAGCACTGCACTGGTTTAAAAAATGTATTTACACTGAAATCAATATAATTTGTAGATTATCTGTTGTAGGAAAGTGATTTAAATAGCCTAAAGTAATAATTAAACATTAACACACTGCATTTTCTAATTTCATAGTACAGGTACAAACATAAAAATCAGTGCCACTCTATAAATAAAAGAAACGCGGTAAAAAAATCAGAAAAACGCATACTTAATTAAAAATAGTTCATAAAACAATGCAAGATACGTTTTATGAACTAAAGTATTGAACGTTTACAGTAAAATATAATTAATGTTAATAGTATTAAACAAACAAATTAATAAAAAACAAAAAGTACTGCACAAACGAAAACAGTCAACATAAATCGTTTTAAATAAAAAAGCCAAGCAGTTAATTCTAATTAAATGTTAGTAAACAGCCACAGACCAAGTAAGCATAGAACACATGTTTAAAAACAATAAGGATCACAGATGCAGATCAGCCAATCGTACATTGTTTAAAATTTAGCGACAGTAAAAGAGAATACATGTTATTTTTTAAACCTTTAGAAAATACTGTATAAGCGTGTAGCTTACCCTGGAAGTGGCCGGCTGCGCAGATATTGAACCCATTTCTGACCCCATTGTACCCCAAAGTTTTGGGCTTTCGCTCGCACCTGTACGCAACAATGACGTCATTGTATGCTACCCCGACATTAAGCAACCTCTATTATAGCCTGTTCATACTCTCGGTATTAAATATACTCACTAACATTAGTCTCAATTTTATCCAGTCATGTGAAATAGATGATTCACCCTCTGTTATAAAAGGTTTCTTCAGAAGAAATGCAAAACATACATTGTTACAGTCAAGTGAGATAACTTTTTTCTTTGGCTTTAGTTTTCCTTTTTAGAACTATATCCAGGGTGGCCCATTAGTGTGAGGAAATCTGCAATGTCGTCATTGGCGTCGAATATATGAAAACAGTTTTCTACAGATTTTGCATGGTTTATAATGATGTAGATCCTAAAAATATTTTGTTGTATGCAGGGTGTCACCAAAAAAGTTATAATAAAAAAAAGTAAAATAAAGATTTCAGTTAACGTCTCCTTTTTGCTGCCAGGGCTCATCTGGACGAGGCCTACTTTGTTTACGCGGATTCCGAACCGCGGTCCTCGGCCATATCATGGTCAATGGCCTACCGACTTGGCAAGTGTCTAAATCGACTCTTACTCACGAGATATCCGATCTCATCCGGCCTCGAACCGGCGTGAATGAGCAGTGTCAATAGAATTTATACTTTTGCCTTTTTTTGGACAACAGCACGATACAGAGTTTCGAACCGGTCACCCGTCCATCCACTTGTATCGTCTTACGTCGCTTAACTTCGGTGTTCTAATGGGAACCGGTGTTTCGACGTAGCTGGGCCGTTGCTCTAGTTATAATAAAGTTTTACTTTTTTTTTAAATTGCAACCCCCATTCTTCTGTAAAAAATTCAATCAGCATAAAATTGTACATATATAGTACACTATTTTTATTTCAAGCACTATTGCCATTCTATTTCTTATTTACTAAAACTTTGGTTAAAAACACTATATCCGAAAAGTGGTTAAAAACTGGAGTGAATATAACTTTATTAAAACTTAGCTATATTTTTCTAAACATCAAGGATAATTGGAATAATACAGAGTATTTTTATCAGCGTCACCAAAATCGGAATATTTAAAATGTTAAATCTCAATTTTAAAATGCGGTATATTATTTTTCGTTTATATACAGGATTAAAAGATGAACATTTTTTGTATTTAAAGTGTTCCTAAATGTTTAGCCGTTTTGCAGCCATTCGCTGTATTATATTACATACCTATGGGGTTTTCAATGGTAAAATGCTTGACAAAGATCATATTATTAGGTGGCTTTGATAAAAATTTACTGTTGAAAGAGAAATAAGTTATATAATACCGAGAATACCTGAATCCAAATCTCCACAGAAAAATGGAGGATGCAATTTAAAAAAAAATTAAGACTTTATCGTAACTTTATTTTAGTGCACCTTGTATACAACAAAATATTAGGATATGCCCCTTTATAAACCATGCAACATCTGTATAAAACTTTTTTTCATATCTTCGACAACGACGACCATATTGGACTTCCTCGCACTAATGGGCCACCCTGTATATGGTAGAAAAAATAAATTTAATCTGTTGCTCTCGATTATCAGTTAAATTCAGCATGTAAACGAATAAATTTCTAAACAAATGATTTAAAAAAGTTATTTCTTTCTTAATTTTACATAAATATACCCATAGATAAAATATTTTCGTCGTCGCCGTCGTTTTTAACTGTAAGCTGCATAGCTCCCCATACACCAGAAGATTTGACCTGCGGGCTTGGTCTGCAGATAAAAACTTTGTGCTTGTGAGTCCGTAGACTTGTATCAAAAATATGGCAGTTTTTATTCCGATAAACATTTATCTATACTGGGTGGTCCGAACTGTATTCCGGAAACTTCGGCAGCATATTCTGCAGGTAAAAATAAGTAAAAAAGTTCGTATAAATGTATGTCCCAAAATGCTTAGTTTCGGAGATACAGGGTGTACAAGTTTCATTTTTATTTCGATTTTTTCCAAATAATTTCTGAAGTAACCTCAATATTCAGATGAAAATTGGTGTCTGGGAGTTTTTTGACATGAGAAATTTGGATTTTGATGTCAATACGACTTCTATTTGTAGGAGGCGCCACCTACATGTGTTTTAACTGTTTTTGAGAGTAATAAGTTTTCGTCCGTTCCTGTATAAAATTATATTATATAAATTTTCGTCCGTTCGTGGTGAAAAAAAAAAATATTTCCATGATTTTTTACGTAAAAAATATCTAATGTAAGAATGGCTACGAGCAACCTATCTTGAGATATTTAGAATGGAAATAGTCAATACATGTCATTATTAACAAAAAATAAACATGCTGAGTAGATAGTTATTTGACTGAAATAGTAAATTTGGAAACTTTTTATTTTTGTAAATTAATCATAAATTTTTCTTTGAAAAAATGATGATAAGAAAGTTTAATAATTATTTAGTCAACATGTTTAATTTATGTCAATGACGACAGGTATTGATAATTTCGATTCCAAATATCTTGAGAACCATTACTCGTAGCAATTTTTAGCAAAAGATTTTTTTTACGTAACAAACATCGTAAATGTATATTTTTTCACCCAGTAGTTTTATACAGGTACCGATGAAAAGTTATTACTCTTTACCAGTTAAAAAATATGCAGGTGGCGCCCTCTACAAGTAAGAGTCATATTGACATCAAAATCAAATTTCTCATGTCAAAAAACTCCCTAACGCCATTTTTCATCCAAATATTGACGTAACTTTAGAAATTATTTGGAAAAAATGAAAATAAAAATGAAACTTCTACATCCTGTATCTCCGAAACTAAGCATTTTAGGACATACATTTATACGAACTTTTTTACTTATCTTTTTACTTTACTTATCTGCAGAATATGCTGCCGACGTTTCCGGAATACAGCTCGGACCACCCTGTATAAAAACTATTATAAAACGTCGAAAGATCTAATTGGCAGACTAAGTCGGCAGGCCAAGTCCGCGGCTTTTGGGGCTATTGGGGGACGGGACGAGTTCGACAGATGACATTCAATGATCGACAGAAAATAATAATTTACCATTAAATTAAAAAAAGTAAGAACTGTAAACTATACAGGACTGCTTAATTTGTTGTTGAAATTAATGTTAACAGTAACATTGTTGTTAATATCGGAAGCATGAACCAGGCATTACAGTCTGATATTCCCAAAAGCAAATCAAGTACTATTTTTTTTAATCAATATTTAGAATTAACTTTATCCAACATGTGTCATATAAAGTATTAATACCCAACTTCAGGCACATACATTGAAATACATTATGATAGAATAAAAACGGCGTCAGAGATGGCTTGGAAATTAAGGTCGCTGTCATTTTATATAAAAAATTATATGGGAAATGTCATCGATCGTCATTTTAAAGCCATCTCTGACACTGTGTTGTTTTTCGATATATTATCTAAATATACTTGTTTACGCAGTGATGTGGTATAAAATACCCACAATAATCTTAAGATCTTTGATTTAGTTTTTCAACTGTTCAGTGAGAAAACACCAAATAGATGTTGAAATTAAATTTTTAGTATTTTTTTTAAAAAAAATGTAAAGCTCCGTTTACACATAATGCTTTACCTGTCAGTTATGCGTGTGCAAAAATTCATTTTTTCACAATCTTTAATTTTAAAACATAATTCATTAAGAATAGAGGTTGCTTATATTTTTTCATATTATAGTTGTAAGGAGTAAATGTATTGAGAGGGGTCAAATAAAGGGTGATAGGCAGTATATTAAAGAAGAAATAACTAAATCCAACATTAATAAAATATAGTATAAAGATTAAAAAACAATTAATTTGGAACCAAAAAATTATGTTCTAAAATATACTGTCTATACCTCTGCTTTATTATAAACAAGTATGTATGTATTGTATTAAAAAGTAATAGTAAATCCCTGTTAAAAATTGAAGGACAACCCAAATAGTGACGTTTAAAATGTGCACTTGTTAGTAAAGTTAAATGTACAATTGATGTGGGGATTCTATACACAAATAATCAAGAATGTGTACACCACTTTATTTTTTTTTTGAATATAATGAAGTTTCTTGTAGCAAACACCAAACAAATGCCCAATAATTTTGAGTGGGAAATGTATGTACAAAAATATATTTTGTGACACTTTGAATGCAATTTGTACGATTATCTATTATTTTTAATATTTAAATAATTCTTAATTATCTTAAATTATAACTACCATTAACCCCTCCCATTCCAATAACTCAAATCTTACTAATAATTTTCTAAAAAAAATAACTATTTATTCTGTTCGCCTTTGTTGTGTTATAGGGATGTAATGCAAATGAAGTAAAAGTCAACAATTTACTACATAATAGATTTGGTTATATATTATATAACATTATATATTATGTTATATAATATATAACCAAATCTATTATGTAGTAAATTGTTGACTTTTACTTCATTTGCATTATAAAAATCACGATAGATTTAATAGTCAAATTTATCATCTTAAATCGAGTGTAACTATGGTCACCAGCGATAGAATATACATCAGTGACAAAAAATGTGGTTTTTGATTAATTCAACAGTAGATTGCTATTGTTTATTATCAGTTTGCACGTTATGAAAATCATATATTCATTCTTTGACAGACTGTAATATGTTCCTCAAAAAAATAATTTTAATCAGATTGATAATCTGTATAATTGCTATCGGATTTTTCTTTCCAATCCCTGGAAATGTTATTCATTATTTTACTTGCCAAAAAATATGGATTACTGACAGGTGGAAACAAAAGTTACTCTTTTACACTTAAAGATTTCACGCTCTGTACAAAAATTGAGCAGTTAAATGTAGCTTTATCAAGTTCATCATAACACAATGTTTTTTTATTTACTTCAGCATCCAGTTTTTAAGTTCGATTTTTTTAAATTTTTTAATTAATTATTAATTTTGATTAGTCATAGTTTTTGCTGTTGTTAAAGTATCACATTTTCGATAAATATTATCACACTTTCCGTAGCATTGAACTGAATAAATTTTGTGTTTCTTAAACATTTTAAAACAGCAACAAATATGACATTAATTAAAATTCTATCAATAACAATCTATCAAAGAATGAAAACGAAATTATATTGCCATAGACACCACTTTTGATTTTTAGGACTGGGAAAAAATTCAACTAAATTTTCATGTTTTTTTAATTTTCTCTAAAACGGTATGAAAATTTGGAATAGTATAAACGGCGTTAACCATTTTAGAACAAGCAAACATTTTTATGAAGAATACATTTTTCTCTAAATATCAATAATAAAAAAGTTTTTTTTCCTCTTGTAAAGACAATCCGGGGGCGTACTGTATATATTAATTATATTTAATTATTGTGTGATTGATCATAAAAATTCTTTATACACTGGTAATAGAAAACATTTTAGCCTGAACATAGAAAAGATTTCATTCTGCAGATATTATTTTGATTGAAACCAAAAATAAATTAACTCATTTGATGATTATCAACTACTATATTATACTATATCTTATTAGTAAGACTTGTTAACTCCTTTGTTCACTATCCTAGAACTACCAATAACCTATCTGCTTACCGGAAGGCATTTCGAATGTAAGTCCCAAACTCTCCAGATCGACGGCTTGTTGTTGCGCCATCTGTTGCAGTTGCTGGACCTGTTGAGTGCTGGATCGTGGAGTGCCGGCGCTTTGCGATTGACCAGTACGGGCACCTACCACAGCGCGCAGTTCCTGTCTGACAAATTCTGACGTTGGACCACTGCTGGCGATACCTAGCGGTAAAATAAACTAATTAATGGCGTTTTTCTTACTTGCTGCGATATTTGAACGTTAGATGGCCTAAAATCGACTTACTGGAACATTACTAGAATATGTTTCATGTTTATTATAGAGGGTAGAGGTGAAGAGAAACATCTTTTATATGGAACTTTTTCACTAAATTACCGCAGTGGAGCTAAAATCAATAAAAGAGCGAACTGAACTTAGCGGTTATTAATAAAGTGAAGTTAGTCAAGTAGAGAGGCAACACGCGCCTTCAGAAATAGCATATTTATCATCTTTTTAATTATTTTCAGTTCTAAAAATGTTTGGAGCTTCTTTCAAATGTAGAAATTTTGCTACAGTAGCGCCATCTTAAGTCTTCCCTATTTTATGACCACTTTACAATACACGAAGATATTTCTCCTAATTTCTACCCCCCATAATTTTATTAAGCAATTGTTTTTATATTTTTGTATGTTACATCGCAACCCTGCGCATAAGAAATTTCAGGTAAATTTTATACATGACGAATAAAATACTTTTAAAGAACTCATTAAAATAACGCAAAATAAAATATTACGAAAATAATCGAAAATATATTCCTGGATATCCCAAAAAACACTGATGTCACATTATGACAAATAACATAATCATATAATTATTTTCGACTTCTATTAGGTTTATCAAAAACATCTGGAATATTAACTCTGTATAGAAAGTTACAAAAAGCAAACTGTAAAACAGGTTCGTTATGGTTTAAACATTTTGTTTAAAAATAAAAGAAGGAGTAATAACAAAGTACAAGACATACAACAAGAGTAGAACAAATAATAAGTTGTATTAAACATTTGTTTAAAACTATGTTTTTATCAAGATTGGCGTGTAGGTATTTATTTTTATACCTAATAAAAAACGTACGTAATTCTGACAACAGAACTGAAAGAAAAGAAAAAAACACGATTCCTAAACTATTAAACCCAGTGATGGGCGGTTGGTAAATATCCAATGGGTATAATAAAGAAATTTGGGTATATACCCAGAAACCTGTAGGGTATATACCCATTGAGAGAATATTTTGTAGAGGAAACCCTTGTAAAATTCGATTATTCACCTAACCTAAATTTAACTATCTGCGTTGTGCTGTATTTTCCATACAATTACGGCTATTGTGCGGCCCTTTGTGGGGTAAAATAAGTAAGATAACAAGTTGTTGTTAAAATTTGTTATAGTACGTTAAATTCACAAAATAAACATTAAGTATATACCGGGTATTCAATATATGTATCTGTGATACTAAGACAGAACCACCCGATATGTCAATAGAAAAATAATGTTGACATATCGGGTTCTGCCTTAGTACCACAGAACCGTAGTACCGGCAGAACCGCCCGATATGTCAGTAGGGAAATAATGTAACATATTGGCTCGGGTTTTGCCTTAGAACCACCCAAATTTCAATGTTTGTCTATCATTGCTTAAACCTACTATACATCACCACAACTTTTACCAGTAAGTTCTCTAAAATTCGAAATAAGTTTTGCCCCGTTCATTACTCAACCTACTTCTTAAAAAAAGCGTTTAAACAAGTTTTAAACCATAGGAAACACGTTTCGTGTGAAAATATAAAAGACGTTGTTTTTTTTTCAAACCCTGTACTAAAAAATTAACATTTAGATACGTAAACTTTTATTATCCATAACTGAAAAAGATATTTGCAGAAACTATTCCAAATGAACAATATGCTTTATTTAATGAGTTTTATAGAATAGATTTCAATCAATTTTAAGTTCCATTGATATATAAAAACAAATGCTTAATGTTATTAATAAAAGCTTTAGTGAATTAGTCATGCAGCAATACATATTTTGATACACTATAAATACTCTAATGAACTGTTAATTTCAAGCAATACTACACTACATTTTTAAACATATTTACATTTTATATACATCGTAAAGTAAAGTTTAACAATATATAAAATGTTAGAAGCGAATTGTGTAAAATTTTTGAAACGGTTTATTATTCATTAATTTATTTAAATAAAATAAAATAAATTAAATTACTGGACAGTTCATACCATTTGTATTAGTTACTGTAGATGCGTAAACATTATTTTGGTATTCAGGAAAGCTTTAAAATGAATATGGTATGAACTGGCCTTTAGTTCTTTAGAATCTAGTTGGCAGATATAACGATAGAGGAAAATAAAGACACAAACAATTTGATAATTTATTTGAAATCAGTTATAAAAATATACCTATAGTTAGTAAGCAACATAAAGGGTAACATAAAATAAGCACGAAATTTACACGTATGGCGATGAATGTAGGTGTATTTACACATCATGGATGGAGTGTCAAAATGTTTGGAAGTGCGGAAATGTGTAGTTTATGTGATAGGGGAGTTACGATAGAATAAAATTAGTTTAGATTTTGTATGATACAAAAAAATGCAACGAAATAATCTTTTTTTTCAAACGTCACAAAAGTATTAATTTTTGCGACGCGATTGACAATATAAAAACGCCTAGGCATAAAATTGAAGCATATTTACGCCTAAGCACAAAAGTATGAAAATATATTATTAAACTGACATAAAGTGTCAAATTCAATGAGCCTAACCATAGTTTCTAGATAAAATCTATAATTATATATAATTATTTACAAGTTATTACTTTTAAATATTTTTATATAATTTGCAACGTCTGAAATTGTTTTATTATTACTATATATACTACTATACAGAGTTAAATTGATTTTTGTGGTTCTCCACAAGAAGTGTCATTTTTACTCCTAGTAAAACAATACACTAGTATATTTTTTCAGTTTTATTCTAATTTTATTCGATATAAATAAGAACTGTGGAAAAGATGACCTATGATTCTCGTATCATTTATATAGTGCAGAGAAAGCAAGGTTAAATTTCACTGAATATCACTTGAAGGGAAATGGAAGCTTAAAAAATAAAGGATATAGGATAGGAATATATCCCCAATGATTATTTAACACATATAATGAACTATGATCACAAAAAGATGAGTTAGTCCAATCACAAAAATGACGGTACGTTCAACGGTATCAGTAACATTCTACTAAGTACATTTAAATCCTGAAGAAAAGATATGTATCGATTATCAAAGGTTAATAGAAACATACACATACATAATTCTAAACAAGGGATGAGTAGTTTTAATGATTGGACTTTTTGAATGATAGTTAGACACACGGCAAAGTGCCAATGAATGCAAATTGTGAAATGCTGAAACATAAATGACTTGTCTCCAAAACAACCTGTTTCTTTTTATTGATTTTATTATTAATAAAACAAAAATACTAAGTGCTTTTCCCTTTCTTTAAATGTCATGTCTTCACTAATAAATATACGATCTTCACTCATATATCTTAATTTAGATTTATTAGCCATAATATCATTTTTCTCTTTCTCGTTTTCAAGACTAATAACACATGTTTTTTCACCTATTTTTGTAACTGATTTTGGAGTAGTATCAATATTTAAGTTTTAAATAAAAAATTACATACAATATTAAACTATCTAGATTAGAGACTATCTATAGATAGTCTCTCCAGTGAGGAGATACATTATTTCGACAAACGCCGCGAAAAATGTAAATGACAATTACTGTTATTAATACTAATTATTCGAATAAACAGAGACTAAAGAAGGAGTCAATACTTATTTTATATTCATACGTTATAGGTAGAAGGGGGGTCATAATGGCAACTATTTTATTTTGAGATCCTTTTTTTTCAATACTTTTTTATCACGTAATCGAAATGCAAAAATTGAGGTTATGTTATCATTACGAAATGAGTTCCTCGGAATGGGGAGACTCAAAACAGTAATGATTTGTCGGTCGTTGGACTGGTTCGGTATTAACCCAAATCTAGCTATAGCTCGAGCAATCAAAACACGCTGTAAGCGTCTTTTGTTTGCTTTGGTTGCACACTTTTTTCGTTTTTCTCTGTTTGATTAACGCTCACCTGATACTGATTTTAAAATTAAAGGATATACAAATTTTTACAACTATCAACGACAGCTCAACTCAAGCCAAAAAAATGGAAATAATTTGATATTTAAAACAGAGTATGCCGCCGTTAAACGGCTTTAGTCTGCCAGATTAAGCGCATGCCCCCGTCAACGACAAATTATAAAACAACCTAGGTTTTTGTATCGTTTATCGCGTATTGCGTATAATGTTTGGTTTGAGATGCAGCGCGAAATTTGTGTAGGTAATAATTCATAATTTTCTGGTTCTGGATAAATGATGAACTCTTGTTGACTGATTCTGGAATAGATATTTTCAAACAGACAACATATGGGGTTTTAGACAACATAGTTTGTAAAATCGTGCGGTTAAAAGAAAACAATTGCTTAAATTTCGAAAAACATTTAGAGAAAGAATTGACTTAAAATATAAAAAAATGTGAAATAAAACTTTTAGAAATGTGTATGTGTATATATGTCTTTATATTTGTGTGACATTATTATTTAAGTGTCTTTTAAATCCTACCGTGGAAAATTTGTGTAAACAATATTGACCGGATTTTTAGTGAAATGGCACTAGACCACCTGTTTAAAAATGTAAGGGTAGGTTACATTATTTTTCTTTAACAAAACGTACAAGTACCTTGTAAGAAGTCAATTAAATTTGGTCGCGTCTTAAAAAAATCGACGCAATATTTTTATATATTGACCTCCCTACAATAATAACCACGAGCCGCCACTGGAAATGCTATGCCGCCGGATGACAGAATTTTTTGTATACACTAACAATACCGCCGGCGCGGCGCCGCGGATTTTTAGCCAGTGTTTTATTCATATGCGCATGCGCGGTAAAGACCTAGGACGGTACAGAGTCGTTAATAACAAAAACCCGAAGTGAGCTATTATCTCTTAGCCTACAAATTTTAGTGGTCCAATATTGAAACAGAAACAGTAGTGCTTCTGATCAGATTGTTGTGGAAACGCAAAGTAATGATTGCCAATGGGACACCAGTGGATACGCCCTAGTCCTAAGCCTCCCAAGGCAATAGGGCAGGGTTCCGAAGTCTCACTTACCGGGCGGAAGGTGCGGGGGAGCGCTGCCCCTGCGCTCATAGCCTAGCGCCCCTTGCGGTTGTTCGTAGCAATTATAGGGCGCGTCCTGTTGCGGGTACAGCATGGGGGCGGGAGGGATGGATTGTAAGGGGTTGGAGGGGTAGTGTGGAGGGGCCTGGTTGCCCGGGTACGGTCTGGGCGAACCCAGCCCACCTGTAAAACACGCAATCACCCGTTAAGATTTGTTATGGTTTTTTTATTGGTTAATCTGAGCGTTGATAGTGGTTCGCCGATCATACTTTGAAGACGAAGTCCGTGTGTACTTGCATTTTGTAGTTTCCTCAATGACGTGGTACGTTAATCTTTGAGAGTCACCATATCTAATAGTAATAGACAGCCAAATATCATAAGGTGAATTTAAATATATATTCATAAAACTGAATTTAAATAATTCCGATACATTTATAGTGAGTTCATTTACAGGAAATAATTGGGCATTTCTTTACCAAAACAGAAAACTAAAATATAACGACATGATTGTTTTGTTTTTAGATTTTTTAGATAGAGAAGGTCAATGATTAATTTTCAGGCAACATCTAAAGTGTTACCTTCATAGGCGATTTCAAGATTATAAATACCGTATGATAGAAGAAAAACGGCGTCAAGTTGGATTGTAGATTGTATCGGAGGGAGGAAGTTAATCTCCGCGACCTTATAGATCTATTGTGACCCCCTTTATTGAGTATGGTGAGTAATAATCATCATACAGTGTCTCAGGGCTTGGACAAAAGCCATTATTTGAGACGGTTTTACAAAGGTTAGCTCTCCATCTGCGATATCAGTAGAACCTTACTTAACTGTTAAACTTTACAGTTAAGTAGAGATAAATGGTTGTAATCTCCTAATGGTTGTATTTTCCTACAGAATCTGAATTTACCCTTGTTTCTTAGTTTTAATCTACTGAGGTGTTCATTGAGGATACAGTGTCTTGTTAAAAACTCCCTGACAGTACAAAGATTGTTCTTAATTAAATCAAGGAAAATCCTTGATTTTTCTCGGTCATAAGTCTTGAGTATCTTAGACGGTCGGGGCATTCCCATTCCAGATTACAAATGGAGTATTCCAGGTTCTCGAGTTTTGTTTTAAGTTGTTTTCCACTTGGGAAGCAGGAGTCCAGTTAGTGGTTCGGGGCTCCCTCCTTTTCTAGTTAGATCGTTTGCTTTTTCAATACCCCTCATTCCTTGGTACACTCACAGCACTACTTGGTGGGCGGCACCCAGAGTAGGAGGACTTTATTTCTTTGCCTAATTTGTTCAGCTTCTCTAGATATTCTATGACCAACTCCGAATTGATGGTTACTAAGTTGACCGCTCTTAAGGCTGCATGACTCTCGGATAAGATGGCTATTTCTTGATTCTAATAGTTCCTACCTAAGGTCCAGTTGGTTTGGAAACGACGATAGATGACATTTCCTTTCTTCCCCCTTTTTGTAAGCCACCTCTGACGCCGTTTTTTCGAATGTACGGTACATTTTATATGCGTTTACCTCTGTCTACGGAGAGAATCAAAAAAGTTACTGAGAAGTTTTGGCGTTACAATGAATTTTAAACTCAATAGCATTTTTAAAAAATCGAATTTTTTATTTCGACTGTTAAAATATTAATAACTTTTAAATCAATTTAACAACTTTTAGAATCGTTCTAAAAAAATTACTTGTTTATTGATAAAAATACACTATCAAGTGCAAGTATAATTTAAGAAAATATTAATTAGAAATCTCACTATAACACTCCATCACTATTAGATATGGTTTTCATGACAGAGTTTATTATTATTAAGTTTTTTTTAAACTGAGAGACAACCTAACGAACTCTGAATAGATATATTTTAATTATATTAAACAACAGGACTACAAAGTAATTATAGAAAATTATGTGTCACATAAGAAAAAAAATCTTGATGTAAAATTCGAAAATACAATAATCAAGAAACTAATTAATGCAAAATCTAAAACTACAAATCTAAAAACCCAACCAAAGCTTTAAATCTTTTGTTCAACAAAAAAACAGAGTAGTATTTATGTTATAGATGCCCAAAAATATTAGGTACCTAATGAAAAAAAAAAAGACTTAGTAGATAATATGTTTATAAAAACTACAATATTGTATTGCAATTTTTGTCTTTATATTTTAAAATCTCCAAATAAGATATAACTCATTCTAAAAGCTGATTTAAGAATTTTTTATAAATAATATATTTAGAGCAAAATGTTTTAGACAACCGTTTTTAAGATTAATTTTAATAGTTTTTAATCATTTAAGAGAATGTATTTTCCCCCATGAAAGAAATATACCTCCCTCATATCCCAAAATTTGCCCTTATCCAACATAATCAAAATCGCGACTAAAGTTTTTTTGTTGATTATATGTAACTATATATTGTACTTATAATGCTAAGAAAATAAACAATACCATGCTTTGCTCAAGTCAAATAAGTAAGTTTCTATGGTCAGCAGAAATAGATTTATAAACCTATCATTGAGGAAAGTACAAGAGTAAAAGTAAAAAAGAGGCATGACATGCACCAAAAAGTATCATTGTAAACCACTGCATTAAATCTAATAGTAAAATTCTACAAAACACTTCTCTTATAGCAGATAATTAAAAACCATGCTAATAAAAATTAGAATTTTTTTTAAACCAGCCACTGTAGTTTATACTTATAGGATTACTTCAAAATTATAATATATACATAAATAAAACTTTTAAAAAGATTTGTTTGTGATGTTTTTATTGAATGACAAAATTGATTAACACAATTCAAATCTTTTTAAACGTAGTGTTATTCAAATCCACCTAATGTACACTGTACAATAGTTAAATAAGGAAACGATAAACCATATGTATATTTCATTGGTGGCAAAAGAAATTTGAAACGTTTTTAAAATTTAACTTTAAGGTGTTTCAGAAATTAAACGAATTTATTATTTAAAAAATTTAATAAAAATCATAATTTACAAAACTATTATGTTTTATGTTCATAGCCATAAGCTATAGTGCCCGAGAATAACAGCATTTTCTTTGGTAAAATTAATTCAAAATGTTTATTATTTATATAATTTATACAAACAACGATAGGCATTAATGAAATTTATTTATTATGTTTGCAGAATGCTTAGATGCAATCTAGTAGCACCACAAATTCCTAACTGCTTTTGACAATGAATTTATACCAGTCCACTATTATAGATTATAAATTCCAAAATAAGTAAAGGCCGTATATTATATTGCTTCCCTCGTAACTATTTCAATAGCGTGAATAGTAACGCCAACTCCAACGAACATTACCATGGAATGTCATTGCAATGACATATGTCACATTGCAATGATGTATGTCAATTTTTATAAAAAAATCAAAATTCAAAATATTAGATATTTATACAGTGAAGAAAAATAAATTTGGTGTTTATAGTAGTTCTACCAGAAGAAAATGCTATTAATTACAAAACGAAATTAACATGTCACTTCAAAGAGAAAACTGGATAATTTTCTTGAGAGATTCTTCGATTTCATTTACTTAAGAAACACCTAATTATCTGAGATAACCGAAATACACTATATCTATCAACCAACCTGTCATCTGATTCGTACTGGTGGTAGGTACGCTATTGGCCCTCTGCAGTCTCTGCAAGTATTGGGTCTGGTTGAACGTAGAGTTTGGAGAAGTTGGCGGTGGAAACTGATCACCAGCGAATGGCGAATGTCTCGGCGCCTGCAGTCCCGGACTATTCAGCGACCTCTGTTGTTGTTGCGACTGAGTGGGAGGTCTCTGAAAATTGCGGCCGCCTGTTAGACTTCCCTAAAGAAAGAAGTACAGAGAAAGAGTGTAGAGGACAGTTAGATTAAGAGATGAAAGATAAAACTACTTTAATAGATGAAAGATAAATGAATGACGTATTAAAAAGTAAGTTTTTTTGCCAATAAAAAATTGCAATCAAAACAAAACCTAAACCACAGCTGTTATGTTTTTACACTTATTTTACAAACATTACTAACATTTTATAGTTTTTTTAATGTAAGTATTATACATTTTTATGAATACTCTGTATAATATTTAATCAATTAGTAAAAAAATAAATATACTAAAGCGGTTTTTAAAAATGAATAATTTGTTTTTGGTCTGTAAATATTATTTTTGATATAAAATTGAAAATATTCCAAAAAAGGTTAAAAATTATACACAAAATTTTAAGAAGAATCAAACAGTTATAAAGTAATAGTTGTTCTATTTAAAATAAGTATATTTGTAGCTGTAATAGCAAACTATAAATATGTTCGAAAAAGTGGCGAAAGTGGTCACACCTAAAAGGGGATAATAGTGGCCACCTAAGAAATGGCCAGGTTAGCGCTAATAACCAATAAGAGTTCGATCTGAACTTATTGGTTATAACCAAAGTGAAGTTAGTCAAAAGAGAGTGGCATCACGCGCCTTAACAAATTTTGTATCTTTTTAATTAGATTTTTTTAATTATTTCCTGCTTTAACATTCCTTGGAGCTTTCTTTCAAATGCAGAACTTTTGCTACAGCAGCGCCATCTTAATTGTACCCCTATGATGGCCACTTTTATTCGAAGAAATTTCTTCTTACCTCTACCCGCCTAATATTCTAAAAGAAAGTAGACATCAAAATATCTTTACCTGCATAATTTGTATTCTTTTTGAATGATATGATCATTTTAATGAATTGGTCATATGAAAAATTCTGTATAACAAATAATTTATACAAATTTTAAGTATTTTATTAGATCACTGTGTTTAGTGGGTAAGTGTTATGTGGTTGATGAATTAAAAAAATATAGAATAAATGAAACATGAGGTTACTCTAAAACTAATATAGTTAATGTTTCTACAAACCTTCGGTCAGCGGTACGTCATATATTGTCGTATTCTCTCTTTCACTTGAAAATGTGATAAATTGTAACTGTCATTTGAATCTTAAGGTTTGAATTTTATGGTTGTTTTGAACAACCCGGGGTCCGATTCTGTAAACATATTTATTTCCTGTCTAGTGACTCATCAATTGTATACAAACAGCATAGACTAGACAGGAAATTGCTTGCTACAGAACTTACAGAATCCCACCTCTGATATACAGATGGCCCAAGAATGTCAGGGGCCAGAATAGTAGGGTTGAAACAAGGAATATCCTTCTCCGGAAGCCTATCCAAAAATGTCGAAAATTTTTCGGGCGAAAATAACAGCAATATACTGTAGTGTAGAAGAAATAATGAGTAAGTCAGAAAAGAAATCACCGTTCAGTTGCCATCTTCAGACGCCCAAGCGGCACTAATTGGTTACACTGATGTCAATTCAAGACTAGTATGGGATTGAGTGCGTGCTCTAAATACATTAGAGAAAATGTAGCAATATTATGTTAGCCTGGGTATACCGGGGCCCGAGTGTCACAAGGGTAACGAAAAGGCAAGTTAAAAAGCCAAATATGGTTCATCAATGCCATTCGTAGGCTCAGAACACTTCTGCGGCTCTGCAAAAGCAGTCAAGTTTGGCACAAAATAGTGGGTGGCCAACAAATCTGAGAATGGTGGAGAAAATCAAAGAAGTAGAGAAAAATAGTGCAGAGGACAGTTAGATTAAGAGATGAAAGAGAAACACTACTTTAATAGATGAAAGATAAAACAACGATGATAACAAGGGCAGAGACAGGCAGAGATAAGCTGATGGAATTGATGGACGAAGCCATGTGCAGATTATGCCAATCTGAAGAAAAAACGATAGCACATTTTATGTCAATGCGACAGCCGGGCAAATGTGCGGTTCTTTTTAATAGGCAATAATTAGTCATTGACAAAGAGCTATAGAGTGGGTTCAGTTTCCAAGTTGTCAGATTTCTGAAAAGGATAGTACTGGAGAATGTAACCTAGAGATCAGAAAAGGACCTCAATAGATCCGAAAGAGTCACAGTGGAACAGGCTGATAGCCACTTATAATAAAAATATAATCTCATTTAATAGCAGTATTAAGGTATTTAACAAAAAATCATACTGATAATGATCAACATTAAAAATCGATTTAAAATCGATAGTATTCACATCCCTGACATATCTTAGAACTGATATCAAATAAATAGAGATGACATAAGTTGAACGAAGGCTGTAGGTACAGGCTATAAAAAAATATCCCCATACTTACCATTAATTGAGCATTTAACATAGGATTTTGCTGAACGCTGATCCGTTGCTGGGACCAGTTGGCCGATCCCGCACCATTACCCTGAGGATAGCCCTGTCTTGGCGACAATTGGGCGCTGTACTGCGATTGAGGCGAAAGCCTGGCAGCTTGCTGGTTATAATTGCCCACGGTGGTTTGCGGCTGAAAACTCTGCTGATTCAGAGGAGAGGGTAACTGTGAATGAGGTGAATAAGGTGGTTGCTGTTGAGGTTGTTGAGGAACGCCTCTTTGGTTTGCTTGAGAAAGCTACAAAAAGAAATGACATATTAAATGAAATCAACGTTGTCAGCGTCATCAAGAGATCATTAAATTTGAATTTACTTTTATTTTAGTTTAAGTAAGCCTGTATGCACACAGGAAAAGCAAAAACAGTTTTAGTCTACTAAACGTTTTCAATAATAGTTATTTTTTTTTTAAACAATATTTTTTTCCATAGCGAGTTACGTTTTAAAAAATATTCAGAAATTATTATTTCAAGGAATTTATTACGAGTCGAAAAAATATTGTGCTGGGTTGGCCTTGCTTTCGATGTAATTTGACAAATAAATAAAGCTGTCTCTTTAGTTGTTAGTTTTGAGTCAATATTTTTTAATTCTCTTTCGTGTCGATTGCTGATTGAATTGGGGCCAGAAATGGCTCAACACGAAATAAGTAAATTACCAACAAATATTCAGGCTGAGGCGACAAACGCCATATCCAAACTACTTCCCTTTAAATCTCGAATAACTTATGAAAAGGAATGCAAACATTTTCAAAAATGGAAGCAATTAAAAAACGTGCGAGAAGAAATAAAGTTTTTAACCTATCCTCGCTGTTAAAGTATCATTTAATCTACCCTTGCGGTTAAAGTATTATTTTATCAACTATTTTTGATAAATATAAGGCAATTTTAACAGTTGCTATGGAAAAAATGTGTTTTTATTTGATGGTTCAATGAAATTAAATAGGCTAACGCACACAAGTCGCGAGCGTTAAGACAGTTTAAGGCCCTGAGCTCAGAGTCAGGCTGCACTAGACCCGTTCAGTATCTGCTGCCGTGTATATTTGATTGATATTTGATAAAACATTTTGTTTTTCTTCAAAACATATTTTATAAAAGAAAAAAAACGACGTTTTTGACTAAAACAGATTTGCTCTTTCTGTATGTGTCTAGCTTTTTTCAGCACCCAAAGAATATTCTAAGCTACTTTGTATAATTAAATTTTTACCTCATATTTTAAAACTAATCGTTTATTTACCGAATTTGAATTCTGTAACTGTGCGTTATAGTTTGGAGACAGTTGAGACTCTGGTACGCTATTAGATCGCTGTAACGACACATTTGGGGCCACAGTGTTGTTCAGTAAACTGTCAATGTTTTGGATTGAGTTCATTTCTGTAGCTGTGGCATTGGACGGAATTAAAAGCTGCTGTTGTTTCTACGAAAAAATTAATCATATAAATTAAAATGGCAATTAAAACCTCAAAATTCAATTGATTGAAAACTTCTACCGAAATTTGACAGTCTTAAGCTATTTGTTAGTCAGTATTTTTAACCTAAACCAACAAAATTTGTTAAACATTTAAGGAATATTGTTACACATACTATTCTAAATTTCTTAGTGGTTCAATACCTTGTATTATACACACACCGGAAAAGTCTAGGGATATTACAATTTTATCCAGCCATCGTCAGTAATTTTATTATTTGCATTTCTGATATAATAAAATTAAAATACACAAATAGTTTACATGACGTATTGGAAATAAAAATGCGAAATTTACCGAATTTTTCAAATTTACCTTGATTTTTATTGGACTCAAAAAAATACACACATTTTTTTTTTATTCTAAACTGTGAATTAAAAAAAAAGATAAAACCATTTTTACTTAATAAAGGGTATGACCCCCTCTACAGTTCATTACAGCCCTACATCGTCTCTCCATGCTCCTGATCAGGTTGTCGATCTCTTCTTGAGGCAGCCTGCCACGCTACATTCGCGGCCCGAACCAGATCCCTACGAGTTTCACGAGGCATACCCATTCTCAAAATTCTTCTTTGGACCGCGTCCCATACGTGCTCGGTGGGGTTGAGGTCAGGAGATTGTGCCGGCCAGGGTAAGATGTTTAATTGATGAGCATTGATAAACTCACCTACCACTCTGGCTGTCTGAGGCCGTGCATTCTCATGCATGAGACTGAAGTTTCTCCCAAAATCATTGGCATATGGTAACACGACAGGCTCAAGAATTAAATCACGATATGTGATTCCTGTTAGAAACCTTTCAGGAAAAACGAGATCGGTTTTTCGGCCTAACTGGACTCCTCCCCAGACCATAACTGTTCCACCTTGATAAGGGTGCACTTTCTGAACATGATCCAACCGAATAAGATTTGCCGGTTCTCTCCATACCCTAAGCCTTCTCGAATCCGGATGAATTCCAAAGCGTGACTCATCCGTGAAGAGAACATTGGCCCATTGTTCATTCGACCACTGAACATGATCTTGAGCCCACAAATATCGTACCTCTCGATTTCCTCTCGTTAAGGGTTGAGCTCTCCAGGGGCGTCTGCTTCTTAAGTTGACCTCTGTTGATCTATTGCGAACAGTGTCAGGACTAACGATTACATTATGTGTTTCCTGGAGAATTAAACTAAGCGCTGGTGCTGTAAGAGTCGGTCGGCGTCGGGTATTTAATTGTGAAAAATGATCTTGCTGAGGGGTAGTAATGCGATGTCACCCTGTGTGCCTTTCAGCAACATCACCACTTTCACGGTAGCGTGCACTTAATCGCGATATTACACTTTGCGTTGTATTTAATGCTCTAGCTACGTCGATTTGGCGCATTCCAGATTCGAGCATCCCATGGCCCTTAGCATTCCGTTTCTGTTAAGATCTCTACGCTCCATAATGTCGTTTAATACTAAACAGAGTTATTTGAATGAATTCTGGCCAGTTATCATAAAAACATAGCCAGTACAGGTTAAATTCGAACAATTGATGCTAGGTGTTTTTTATACATTTGACAAAAAATGTACAAACACTTCTGCAAATATCCCAAATTTAGAAATAACTAGTGTGACTACTTCATTTCAATCGAAGTAGAAAGAATCGGCCTACAAATATGTGGTTGTTTATTCAAAACATTTATTTTTAACTTTAATAAAATGATATCCCTAGATTTTTCCGGTGTGTGTATAATATATGTAGTTAAGCATACCAACATAACATATTGGTCACTTTATATCCGGTGTAACGAACTATAAGCAAATTGTTGTCCAAAGAATGGACTACAATTTGCTTTCAACTGTTATAATTATATACTTATTTTCTGAAGAGTTTTTTTTATTTTTTTTACAAATTCTTTAAATTAAGCAGTTGCTATGTAGCCAGCAAATTATATTTGGCTGTAAATACAAACAGCTGTTTACAAATAATACTTAAATCAGAGAACTAAAGCTGCACTCAGAACCTCGAAATTAATGAAATAAATTAGTGGTTTCAATTATACTTTATACTTAAGAGTTTATGACAATTCACAATATTCATAGTGTCTAAGAAATACAATTATTAAAACTAATATAAAATCCTAGCAACAGCTTGCGGTAGTCAGTTGTATCAGTAGTATCCATAGAGAAAGCCTAATAATTAGGTTATAAAACGCTCAATTTTTTTTCTTAGCCATAATTTATCTTGATGAATGATAATAATTAAAGGTCAAAATGAATGACATTAGTCGCAAATTTTTAATAGCCTTCAGAACCTCGAAATTAGTGGTTTCAATTAGCGTAGAAGTTTGATTCTTTAATTTTAATGTGAGCATTCAGAAGTCAAAATTAATAGTAGTAATTTTCAATCAGTAGAAAAAGTTAAAAAAACTTTTAACTTTTTCCACTAATTACACTTCAAAATCTGCGAGTCATTTTGGCCTTTGATTATCATCTGCGAAGAGACGTATTATTATGGTGAGAAATCAAAATGTTATTGTTTTATAAGCTAATTATAAGGTTTTCTCTATGAATAACGTACTACCACAAGCTGTTGCTAGGACAATCTATTAATTTTAATTTTACTTTTAAAATGGTGACAATATAAATTATCGTAAATTTTTAAGTATAAAGTGTAATTGAAACCACTAATTTATTCCACTAATTTCGAGATTCTGAACGAGACTTAAATTTTTCAACTAACTTAAAATTATTACCACTAATTTTGACGTTTTGAATGCTTGCACTGAAATTAAAGGAACCAACTTCTACACTAATTGAAACCGCTAATTTATTCCACTAATTTCGAGGTTCTGAATGAAGCTTATATGATAAAGGGGTTAAATGATAAAAGTCTATATATAAAGACTTCTTTAATTTTGTGTAATTCAGTCACAATTAGGTTGAAGGGTCTTCAATGTGAAATTCACTCTTGCCCAAATACAAGGCGGTAAATCTAATATTGAAAGAATTTTTTGATGTGTATAATATTACCTGTTGCTGTAAAAGCCGTTGCTTGTCTTGCAACTGCAATCTTCTTTGTTGCGCAATTAAAAGTGAATGCGCGCTGGTGATATTCGCAGTACCATAAGGTGGTCCAGCCCCAGAGCGCACGTTTATTGGCCTTTGGTATTTATTCTGTGGATAATTGGGTGGCGGTGGATATCCCAAATTATTCTGCGAAGATACCTAAAATATTAAACAAAAATATCAACTTTATGTAAAATGTTTAATCGTTAACATTAAATTTCTTATAAGTTCACTTACATTTGCAGGATAGGCTGGCGGTCTAGCAGGAAGTGAAATATTGGGAGATGTTGGACTTTTCACAGCGGATTCGTACTGTCTCAACGAGTTTTCGATTATATTAATGGCGGCCGTTTCGCTGAGGAAATTATTCGGCTGCTGGGCTTCGTTGACTTCCAAATCTTCGGGAACGATGTCGATTACTTGATCCAAAAGTTCGGACAAGTCAGGATCGAAGATGTTCGCTTGAAGGTTATTGTTATCAACCCAGTTGTTGTTATCCGAAGTTGAAGTAGCTTGGTTAGTATACATGCCTAAGATATAATATATTTTCACTAGCGATATTTTATTTTAGATAATTGTCAAAAAATAGTGATTCCAATAAAATTATAATAGTGGAGTGCTCAGGGACTTTTACCTCGGAATTCAATTACTGTGAATGTATTAATGTGGAACCTTCTGTATTGTGTTTTATAGATAAAATACTAAAATGTTTACCCATTTTTTTCGTTGCTTCTTAATTATTTCCTTCTTAATATTTTGATTTTTTTAATTCTTTTTCTAAGTAAATTTATTGAAATAAATAAATCTAATGCATAAGCGAGTGCATAAGCTATGCCTATTCTGCTTATATTCTAATCATTGAAATTTTGATTGAAATCGAATTATACAGGGTGGCGCGTCATATACGACGCGGTTTTTGCAAGGAGAACAAAAGTTTGTATTGAAGTGAAATTTTGTGAGCTTATGTAAGTCAATTTAAAGCATTTTCTAAAATTATGTAGAGTTCTACAGGGTGTCCCCAAAAAAATTACACATCAAAGTTATGTTTTTTGTAACGAAAAACCCTATATATTAATTAATTATTGGATTCTAGTAAAAAAATAAAGTTTTGTTTCATTAGAAAAGTATATGACTAAAATGTATAGTTTTTGAAATACATTCACCGGCACAAAAAATGGGCACCTTAAAACTTGTATTTTAAAGGTTAATATATTTTATTTCAATGGAAGTTTGAAACACCCTGTAAAATATGTTAAAACAGCAAAAAATTTAAAAATCATTTTATCATCTAGATACATCCTTTCCCGATAATTTATTTTTTGGTTCATCTCATTAGCTTTATTCTTGTTGGAAATATTCGCTTTTAAAGAAGGCACTAACATTTTTTCGTAATTTTTACATTAAGACCATACCTTTGCTTTTGGGCCTAGTCTCCTAGTCAACACATCTAGTAAGTTCTGGTCCCGAAGCAGGCCTTTTTGACATAATATTTGCTTCATTTAATCTTCTTATTGTACATAGTTCGTTAGTTAATATGTATGGTCTTTAAGTGCAATTTATTATCAATTTGAAAAGCTGGCAAACGGCGGTTTCTTAGCGATAAACTTACAATAAGTCGATCGTCTCGACTAGAAGTTCTCATACGAAGGTTTCTGGACGTTTAGATTGACGTCCTCATGGATGCGGTCATAATTCAAAGACCATTTAGTATACTCTATGGTATTAAGGTATTTTCGGAACCAGAATTTTATAGCAAATTCACTGAACTCGAATAAATAAATGAGATATATTTGACTCACCCTGTATATCTATAAAAATATTTTTGAAATGTGAACTACCATTAAACATATATTTTGGAAAATGTTTGGAGTGAAAATCTCAAATAGGAATCCTGATACAGAGCTTTTCCGGAATACGGAGCCATCTTGTATATGTGTGTTTATTTAAATACTAAACTGAAAGCAACGAATTTAAATGGGTAAACTGTGTAATATATCTTATTAACAATACAATGCAAAAAGTTTTATAAAAATTCGTTCACAGTAAATGAATCCCGAGGTTTGTATCTTAATGGCTTAAAGCACTCCACTATAAGTAAAAGAATAATAATTTCAGTATTTAATATAAGATGTACTTACTACATGTTTAAAAGGTACTTACCAGAAAGCTGGCCTGAAGGTCTTTGAACATTGTTATTGAGGTAGTTTGTTGGAGGTCGTCCGACAAGACGGCTGGCGTTGTTAGGTCTTATGTTATTATTAGAGGCAATAGAGTTTCCTCTCAGTTTGGAAGAATCGGTGTAAACAGTAGGCAGTTTGTCCTGAGGCGTAGCGGAGATCACACTTTGAGGAATGGGCGGTATAGAAGGGGGAGCTGGCGTCTGTTTGGCCAATAGCGAAGCGAGCATCTTGTTTCTCTTGCACAGTTCGCTCGAAGATGATGAACCAGATGAGGATACCTGTAATAAACACAGTAAATCGTTGTTATAATGTTCTTCATCGGACTTTAAAATTTGGTAAAAAATATTATATATTGGTAAAAGGTATTATATTTTCACTGTATTATTAATTCTTTAAACAATCATCACAGACCTAAACACAGAAAATCGCAGTTAAATTTCGTACATTACGAACAAATGTTTCCCATTTTCTTTATAAGAAACTTGTATATGAATTTTTAAAGAACTTAAAATTAAAATAAAGCAAATTCTTAAAGAATTTAAAATAACTATTACCAAATTGATCAACCCAACCCAAAACATGATCCGATCCCGGTCAAGCAAACACTAATACCAATTCAGATCTACCAAAACCTCCGAAATGATACTCGGCATAAAAATCTACAAAATATTTTATGGGTATATGTGAGGAGGCAATGTGCACAATTTAAAATTATTTTGAAATATACAGGGTGTTTCAGAACCAAGATCCATACCAAAGTTATATTTTTTCTTATGGAACACCCGGTATTTTATTTCATTTTTGGATTCTTGGACCAAAGAAAAATTATTTATTATAAATATTAAATACGTTTAAAATCTTTGGATTTTGAGATATTTAAAGATATGTAAATATGCATGCTACAATAGAATAAATTATAAACAGCCTGTACATTAGTTTTCAGAATTAATTTTTGTGCTGAGTTTAAAGGTACAGAAATAAACTTTACTAAAAAATTTTATTGCTTCCTTAAATTTATACAGGAGTACCAAAAATTGCTGATCTATTTTAAATACTTGTTTTACATAAAAACTTTATTTCAAATGCAACGGCCTGTATTTTTTTTTAAATAAATAGAAGCAGATTTAAGTGCCCTTTCAAACTATATTAGGGTTTCCTATACCTATCTAGCTCAGATTTTAAATAAAAAGCGATTTTTCAATAAAATGACTGGTGTCGCCATGGCAATTTTCTAGTGACAGCTAAACTGTATTCAAATTCAAAATGCACCAATATAAACAAATGCACAGTGCGTGATCAGCACGTGTCAGGCGAGAGCCAGCGGCGAAATCTACCCTGATTGGCCGGCCAGCCATAGAGCCGTTGAGGTAGGCGGTTGAGATTTTTTACAGGGTCGGCTTGCATAGCGCGTTAAGGAATACTCTTTGATAAAATAAAAATGCTTTTTAAATTTATACCCAACCAAGCGAGTAAAATCAGAACGGTCAACTATTTCAATAATAATTGTTGATCACTTCGTACAAGTTACAAGTTACAAATAGAGAAATAATTATTTATGTTTGCATAAAATATTTTTACAATTTAGTACACACGTACCTACTACAAAAAGTCAAAAGTTATATATTTTATATAAAATTAGTTAAAACTAAGTGCTTTTTTTGTCAACTAAAATGTATTAAATTATGTTATAATGCAATTGGTCTTTTAAATGATGTAAAAACGTTTACATCACTGCATTTTTTACAAATAGTATTTTAGAAACAGATACCTATTTATACCGATATTCAGATATTGCTGTCAATAATGGAAATAAAAAAATCAGTAGTACCAAATAAAAGATAATTATTTTAAAGGACAAATTAAGCCCTTTTAAAAACACCAAATTTGTTGAAATCGGTCGTGCCAAAGAGTAACGTAATATTTTAATATTCCCGTCCCCTTCCCATCACTTTATTTCTACATCTAATTATATATGTAGTTTGATAATAATTAAAAGGTAATTATTGAAAAACTGGAAATCGCGTCCGATTTTCACCAAAATTGGTATACACCTATTTTGAGATCGTAGATTACGAATCTGAACATTTTTCCTGGCGGTCTCTTACCGTTTTTCAGAAAAACGGAAAATAGTTTCAACATAGAATTTTACTTAATTTCTGATATTTTTAAGGTTTTCTCGCACATATTTTGTTAGGTATTCAATAAACAATAAGGTTTTTGCTATTTTCTGTTACTTTTTTTAACCAATTCTATGCATAATAGAGGAAAATTTGCTAAAATAAATTTGTAAACAATCTAAAAATGTTGGGTTATGTGTTTCTGGCATTTAAAGCAACGTCGCCAATGCTGAACGTAAATTTAGTGTGTTTTTTCGCTCATTCTGGGATTACGAAAGGCGGTTGCCTGAGGAACGGCTCCCTCCCATATCTGCTATTTTACTAACGAAATCTGACTATTTATAACCACGAAGTGGCACGAAAAAGATTTTGTTTGGTTTGGTTAGGTCATTTTGTTTGGTTTGCCACAACTTCTATGCGGAGGGTGTTAATCTTTTTGTTATATTATATAAAAAAGATTAAACCCTCCACAAAAGTTGAAAAATCAATGCAATCAAAACTCTTTCATGCAACTTCGTGCTTATAAATATTATTTATATAACTTCTTTGCGAAGGGGTTTAATCTTTTTTAATATAATATAGCATAAAAATATCAACCCCCTAAGCATAGAAGGTGAAAGCAATGTAATTAAAATTCTTCCGCGTAACTTTGTGGATATAGGTATATTTAACTATTGTCAAATCTCATAATAGGTAATTTATTTAAAATCACCCGAAAAAATTGAAATATTTGTCTCTCTCATTACATAGGAGAGAGAAAGAAGAATATATGAAATGTCAAACTTCCATCTGGTCTCAATTTTCTTAGTTATTTTGTTAAGAAAAGTGTTTTTCAGTAAAATTTTGGACATTTTTCAATCCTCAATCAAGTGTGGCTTTTAGATAAACTATGATATAATCACAAGATTAAACGAACTTACCTGAAGTGAAGTTCAATCTTGATTATATGAAGGTCTCGTCGAAATAAATAAGTACAATGTAGTTCCCTTTTCTCCGTGCGGCGACCACACATTTTAAAGCCTAAACAAACAAATTTCAACATGCCCCTCGCTTCCCTGCTCCCTTACCTCATTACATGCCCTTGCATCATTTCTTATTTAGTCAATTTTAAAGATACTTATTATGTTGTTGTAAATTGAGGTTGAGGGTGGGAGGAACTTATTTATTTCGACGAGACCTTCATATAATCAAGATTGAACTTCACTTCAGGTAAGTTCGTTTAATCTTAATGATTATATAGGTCTCGTCTCCATAAATAAGTACAATGTAGATTTTAAAGTAATAACAACAACATAATCTTTTCTCCCATTTCTATATTGAAAATATATAAAGATTAATTTCTCAGCAAAACTATTCTCATTATCCATCAAGGATTTATTGTAAACAGTAGCGACATTCTAGAATTTTTAGACCAACCAGCAGCGAGTCTGATGGTATCAAAATTTAACCCTTTCCTGGCAGCTGCTGAAGTTACAGCATGCCGTGTACTATGAGCGGTAAAATGATCCGTATCAATCCTACTCTTATTTAGGACAATTTTAATCCAGCTCCCCAAGGTTTGAGTGGATGTTTTCTTATGCGGTTTCTTGATTGTTACGAAAACAGAAGTTATACTTCCTCTAATGCTCTCTGTTCGTTTTAGATACTCTACTAACGTGCTAGCTACGCATAAATTAGCGTCTTTCTTGAAATAAGGTAAGCGTAAAAAGGGTTGCGGCTTATTTCTACCGAATGTTTTTAATCTTGCGCTAATTTTTATATGTATTTCCCCTAACTTCCGAAAAATTTCCCTTATATCAATAAGCGATAGTGTTTGTAAACGTTGACCCGATGCTAAGGCCAGTAATGTCACTAATTTATGCGTAAGCCCCTCCAAGGTTAACTCATAATTATTTTTTATTTTTAAATAATTAAGTACTACGTACGTAGGATCCCAGGTATTTTCGGACTTGGGCTTATTAGGTCTCAACATATATATTCCCTTAAAAAACCTTTGCATACGAAAATCTTGTAAGAGGTCTGGGCCCGCTATCTGTGCTATGGCTGCTCTATAAGAACTTAATGAGCTAAAAGATGCGCCTTCGTTAAAGAGTTGAGTCAAAATATTAGAACGTTGGAACCCGAAACCGAGAAGGGATCTAAGTTCTTAACGCTACAAAATTCCCACCATTATTTAAGCCCTGAGTTAGACTGTTTTAAGGTGTTACTTGTTATTGAAGACATGCAAATTTCCAGCGCTTCTTCTGGAACATTCCCTAAGAGCAAGGCTTGCCTGATAGCCGGACCTCCCGTCAGAGAAAGATGTTGGCTAACGGGTGGGGAGATCCGCTAAAAGAAGTAAATATTTATTAATTTAAAAAAATAATCGGCTCATCTATTAACATCGCCCTTAAAACCGAATACCAAGGTTGCGAAACCCAGTTGGGTACAACCATTATACCTTCTGCCTGATCAGAAATAATTTTTTTTCTTTTTGCAGAGCCTTTGGGACCATTGAAAATGGAGGGAAAGCAAAAAATAAAATGTTTCCCAGTTTGTTGTAAAGGCATCAATGGCGTACATATCTGGGTCCCTGTGCCACGATATGTATTTCTTGCATTTAGCATTTATATGCGTAGCAAACAAATCTATTTCCGGTAAACCCCACTTATAGTGACCAATTTCCCAAATGCCCAGCTCGCTAAACTCCATTCTGTCTCGACCTTAAATTCCCTGGAAGCCCTGTCAGCTTCCTTATTCTCTTGAGATCTAATATAAGAGGCTACGATAAATAATCTCCTTTCCTCACACCATTGCCAAATTATTCGAGGGATATTGTTTAACTTGGAAATTGAACACATTATGTTCTATGTAATATAGGTATATGCCAGTGCAGTAACACTACTGCACTGGCATATAGGGTAGACAACACTGTCTACCTTGCACAAGCTAGAAACGTTAGATAAGTCATTAGCAAAGCCTTTCAAGCCAAAATAAACAGCTTGTAACTCCCTAAAATTTATGTGTTCTTCTCATTCGTAGGTAGGCCAGAGACCTTGAGAACTTATGTTATTGCAACAAACACCCCATCCAATATCTGATGCGTCAGAGAATATTTCCATAGAGTATTTACTATATGATAATAAGTTTTTGCTAATAGGTATGTTTCGAATCCACCAATC